CCCAACCCCCCCCCCCCACCATCCGGCAAATCCTTGCGCCACTCCTGCTCTAAACGGTATACCGGTAGTTCAGACCATAGGCATATGATAATTTTGTGATTATAATCCCTTCTAAACGTGTCTAATCAGGAAGACACTAGTAATAATAGCTAATTTATTTGCCACTCCAAACGATTACAATTTTGTGTTACAAGTGAATCTGTATTTTGGTGCTCACATAAAAGTATTATTGGTTGAGGATCAGGGATAACACACTCTACTTGAGTTGCTTGCACACTGATAATTAGGAAAATTTGTATATTTCCTATTGTTGATTTAGTGATAGTAAAAGATAAGTGTGTGAACGAACGAGTTGACTGATGTGTTGCATTCTACAATCCCCTAAAATAAATAGGACTACGATTCGCCGGATATGCGTCTGACAAACTCGTGGAGATGGTGATTAGAATGCTATTTATATTAGGAAGAATACGCTTATGTGCTAGCCAGATATGAGGATTAATGATAGGATACAGTTTAACATTTTTTAGCATGGTAGGTAAATGATGATCTATATGATTCAAGTTTTAAGTTTTAAAAGCAAAAAAATTCAGTAATCATTACACATTATGAATTGAGGCTGTATCGTGACATGTAGCGTATTCAATAAGCAAATATTAGGTGACGCCTTTACTGCTTACTTTTCTTCTTTATATAAATGTATTTCTCAAACTTGATAAAAATTACGCTCGTATAAGAATGGTTTCCTAAGACCACGGAGGAAATATATTAAGATATATTTCCTCCATGCTAAGAAGTACCGGTACGGTGTTTTAAAGTTGCAAATCTGGACATTCAGAAATACACGGTACATGTTTCCGTAATCGATTAATAAGACGAGATGAAACGACCAGACTGATTTAGCACACTTTAATCATATAATATCATGACGGATACATACATTTACATTAAAACAATTATAGCGTTAAAACACACAAAATATACATTTTTCAAGGTGATATTGTAAATAAGGAATGTTATGGCAACACCGGAATAAATTAATAATAACCAGTCGTTTCGATTATGCCTTTTGGCTATGGCAAATTCAGTAATGTAAAAAAATATTCTATACCAAATAAAGCTGTAAACGGGATCACATAAATAAGTTATCTAGCCCTAGGTAATAGATTCAGTAAAACTCAGATATATTAGAAGGCCATATACTTTTTTTGTAAGAACACTGAGACTGAAATTGCTTGAAAAAAAAAAAAGAACAATGTAAGAACAAATTAAGGTTGAGCTAAAATTTAAAATGCGGTTTTTATCAAAATATCTACAAAAACAAACAAAAATTCTTCTGTTCTTATCTGTACCTCATGTGCAATAGGTCTGACGATGTAATCCCCTCTATAATACAGTACAGTAATATACTGCTGCACAATAACAATTGTCTATTTTGAAAAGTGTGTTAATAAGAACAAAATAAGAACATTTTGAGTCTAAAATCAGCCCCAAAAAAATTAAAAAATAAGAAAAATAAGAACACTGATCCTGGGCAAAATTATCTTGGTTCTTATAAAACAAGTTCTCGTAATCTCCGATGAGGGCAATAAAATAGAGACATTATAGTATATTGGCCCTAACAGCCGCCCATACAAAAAGGATCTATTAATCAAACAGCCGAATGTTTCTACAATGTTTCTGTCTACAATTCTACAATGTTTCTGTCTAGAGCTCCTCATCGGAGCTCAAAAAAAGTGTACGTACGCATTGACTCATAAATGGCCAGGGGTTAATCTATGAGAAACATGCACATAGGCAAACTGTACAAAGACCTTTTAAAGATCATTTTAGTATAAGAAAACTTCGATGCTAAAAAAAAAAACAAAACAAACAAAAAAAACCCAACCTCATAGATCATCCTCTTGTCTCAGGGCTTATAGACGACTGTTTGAATGCGCTTCTTGATAGGCCTATATGTTTGATGAAATATTTTATGCATAACAACGATTTATTGTACAACACTTTTTATGCCTTGGTTCCGCAAAAGCCTAGGCTAATACATTTGACTTCTGAACCTTAATTTATTTTAAAGTTTTCTAATAAATTTAAAGATTTATTTTTACGAGCAGGCACCTAAATAATAAAATTGATCACATCTCTAAGAAAATTCCAAACACCTGATTTGCTCCTCAAAAAGTGTAATAAATAAATATTTATAAAAAAAAATTCAGAACAAGCAAAATTTTAAATTCAGGAACTCAAGTCAGCAATATCTAAGGCAAGAGTAAAGTTTTCTGTACTGTAAGGTCATTGGAGCAGCTAGAATTAAATGTTTTGAAGGCCCATGAAAAGTACTGGTAAACGAATTTAAGATCGTGCAGATAGGACGAGGTTATTTTCTTGTAATAGCCGCCGACTTATAAATCGACTCAGCTACTTAAATAGGCCTACTACAGTAAACTAAATTTTATCAAGAAGTCCTAAAGTATTGCATTGTACATATTGAAATTTAAAAAATGAGTTTATAATTTTGTGTTAACATTAAGAAGCGGTGTCTTTATTATTTTGTTTGAAGATTATGTTAACAACACAGTAGCATAATTCAAAGTGAATTCAATAAAATTGCATCTATAACCTCTTAATCTTGTACTTTTTTGTTTACTTAAGATACTATGTGCTTATTTGTGGTATAGGCCTAGAACTTGTGATATAGTGAGTCTATATCTGAGTCTACTGTGGATAGAATTTTACACTAAATTATTTCAATCGACCAATCAAACAATTAATCATATCAAGTAATGTATCGTAAATAAGTAATTGACGATATATTTGATCGATTGCAGTCGTAATATATGACTTTTTCGACACACAATTTTTCATCACATTTGTCAGTTTAGATGCTAAGGCACATGTTTAATACTACCACTATTTTCAGCAAAAACACATCACCACTCCTGCACATGACTAACAATGTTGTTTTAAAAAAGGTAAAATACCATAATCGTAAATTAAAAATCAGACACTCATCTAAAATCTCGCGTAGGCCTAGCAACTTAAAAAAGATCAAATTAGTCGAACTCGCCGTCAATATCAATATCTTCCAACAAACCTGGGTTCGTTACCCAGCCAAGTGCGTCAGGGTCTGATTCCGGCATGATTAAACACATAAATGGTCGACTCGTACTGCCTTCCGTAGGGTATATTGTAGTAGGAGGGAAGCTCTCGTGGTATTCAACCCATCGACAAAGAGCACTGTACACCGATGGGAACTGGTGACGGAGTTTAACCTCTCTCTGTCTCAAATGACGCTGGATGTTGACGAAACACACTTGGCGCAATTTTCGGTCGCGCGTACCGTCTGGCGGAAGTCCAGGCGGCATCGTCAAAATCAATGTCTCTCCTGTTGTTTCATTTGCTCCTACACTGGGCTGAACTACGTGAGTATCACAGAGCGAAAATTTAGCACACTTTTTGATAGCTGTACCTTGTCGGCGCGAAACCGGTTTTTTTGGAATATCTGTACCAATGTTAACAATAACATTTATAATAAACGACTGGTTTGGGTCGTAAGATTGACATACAGAAAGTAAAGACTTTGTATGTTCGTTTGGTTCAGGTGTTTTCTCCAGTTCCCTAGCAGTGATGTATGACGGTGGAGAAGGAACTGCACGAAGTCCATAACAAACGAACAAGCGCGCAGCTTCTTCGTTGGGAAATACAATCAAAATGCAACCCCGACCGCGTGACAAATAACAAGTTCGCGCAATTTTCGATAGTGTGTAGTGCGTAGAACCGTCGTCACGACATACGGCTATTGCACGTTTACAAGAACTGCTCACGCGAGCGAATACACACCTCTGTTTGTGCTCTTCCCAGTGTTGTTTTCGACAGTCACGTGAACAATAATACGTGTAACAATGATGGCAGTTTTTAAAGGATTTTCGTGCTTCGTCAAGATTTGCTGAAATCCTACATTTGCGACAATGCACGACATGATTCTTATCGTCACCTGTGCTTTTCTTTCTTTTGGCGAAATCGTTCGACCTACGCCTGGCAGACGTAACGGACGATTCGCTCTCAGATGATAATAAATTTGATGACGACTGTCCACTTTCATTGTAGGAAAAAGTTGAAGAGTCATTAACACTTGCAGCCGGTAAACCTAGCAGTCCGTCGATAATATCTTCCATAACTAACGCTTTGTCAACATCCTCTGTCTTTGAGTTCGGTTGTTGGTCAGGCTGATAAAGATGTTTTTCGAACTCTTCTTCATCAATACGATGATTCGGTGGGTCATCTAAACGCGTATCTGTTATACTGATTGAAATCCCGATCTTTTTATCATTTGTGAGTAAGTCATCACGCGAACGATTTATAACAGGAAATCGCGGAGAAATATTTGAACTAAGAGCCTTGTCTGCTCTGTGAATTCTACTATTCGAATTGCTCAATTGATTGTCCGATTGCTGTTGTTTTGAAATGTCATCATAACTTAACGATATATTCTTCCCAACACTGAGTTTTGAATTAGCTGGTTTTGATTTATGTTTCTTTTCATTGGACGATGGTGCACTATGGGTAACTGAAGGCACGTGAAAACTACCAGAATGCCACGATTCATCGTAACTAATAGAAGATTCCGATTCCGGTCCAGAAGACATAGTTTCCAAATTTATTGCACTGTCATTCGTAATATCTGGAGAAAAATTGCTTCTATTTGATGACGAGAGGTCAATCACCTTATCATCTTCACATTGAACCACGGGAACCACGGACGCATGATAATCCTTATGGTCCCAAACGGTATAATATTCTTTCTGTTCTGGTAAAGTTCCGTATGTGTCGCATTTAACACATTCGTCCGGATTTGCGTTTGGTAATTCTTCTTTCTTTAACGGCGTACCGTAAACTGATTTGTATGAATACGAACTGTGTTTATACGAAGTTTCTTCAGGGTATGAAACGTTCCCATTGTCAAGTGTATCATTGTTTATTTCCACTACCTGATCCATTGCATTGTTTTCATCACGATTTGTACTTCTTTTACACTTGATATCCGAACCCAACTCTGGGTGTGAGTTTCCATAGTTCGCTGCTTTTTGTTCGGTGTTCTGAACATTTACGCTTGTAATATAAAATGTAGCAGTTCCTTTATTCGATCTTTGCCGCTGAATTTTGAAATTGTTCATTGGGATTGGGTCCATATTGACAAGGTCCGATTCAGATTGTGGCCGTTCATTAATCCGGGGCTGATTTTGTAACTCTTTCTCACTGTACTTACCATAGCTATGATCAACGTGGTGTCTATTTTCACTGTCGAAACTACGGATATCGTAATTGCTCTGTGACTTTAGATATGGTGTTGATGCCAACATTCCGTTCTGATAGTCGTCACGCTGTGTCGGTATATGTTGTGTAGAATAGTAATATTTTGCTTTACGCTCATACGACATCCTTGTAATCACTGGCCTAGATTTCGTACTGCTACAGTCGCTATCGTCACTACCGAACGAGGATGATTTTGGACGGCCATAGTATCGGTTCCGACCTTGAAAAATTCCATTGTCAGTCTTACAAACGTTACCTTCGGCCATATTTTTCATTTTTTGCTTGTGTACCTCAGATTTCTTGTACCATTCCGGTAACTGCAGATTTTTTAGAGAGTCGAGGATCCTTTTCTCGTGGACCGATAAGGTTCTACTTCCGCTAGTGCTTTCACTGGTGATGCTTTCGTGAGATCGTGAAATGTCATCGTTGCTATTTGGTCCGCGTCGGTCATCCACCGCATTCCGTAAGATCAGAGTTTTATCTAAACACCTATCATTGTTGTCTAATGTAATAACATCAGTTTTAATCGTCGCCGGGATTGTTTCATCCTTAGTTTTCGTTGACTTGGGCAACCTGTTAGTGTTTTCTTGTGGTGATTGTGCGGTATCGCTTGATGATGTTGCACAAATGATGTCTTCTTTCGCATCGGAAAGCCCCCTAACCTCCCTGTCACAAGCTGGTTTTCTACGTACTAAATGCAATTCTATGGTTATGGACTGTTTACCTGTTTGCTGACTTATTTGTTCAACGCTAGCTTGATCTTCGCTACATTGTGATGGCGAGGTTAAGTCATGTTTGCACACATCATCGCTATAACTGTTATCTTTAACTCCAAGCGAATTAGATAGCGTAGCTTCAAAGTCCAATTGTGGTTTATTTGCTGTCGTATCTATAAGTTTCCCAGGTGTATTTTGTTCTATTTGCCCGTGGAGAGATTCGTGTTGAATAGCCTCCTTTCCTGAATTCGGTTCCACGCATGCGTCAAATCTAATACCTTCTTGTTCATAAAAACTGGTTTTATTTAGGGTTTTATCTGTGTCCTGTTCTAATTCTGTTAGAAAGGGAAGAGGACGTATTTTCTCAAGTTCTTTAATTTCTGTGAAGAGTGGTTTATCAAACTCGAGTTGTATCAGTTTCGATGTAGGCGACAATTCGCCACGGTCGTCTATTGCCCCATATACGGGTTCACTCCTGGAACCTACGATTCGGTCGTCTTGTGTGCTAGCATCACCGAGATCAATAGTGGTAATAACTGAATTTTGTATGTTTTCTAGTTCTGATGGTTTTTCTTCTAAATCTCTCTGTAGTAGGTCAATCTCTTCTCCCATCCGCATTAGACCATCGCAATTAAGCTGATTTTCCTGGTCGTAAATTTTTAGTTTGACGCCCGTTACTTCCTCATTGTTGCCGTGAGAATTATCTTTAACTTCTTGTTTCGCAATCACATGATCATCCGAATAATTCCTCAATGAGGATTGGTTTAAATCCAAATCAGAAAAATAATTACCAACGTTCTTCAGCAACTTCTCGTGATCCACAACACTATGATTCAAAGCTGAGTCAACATTATCCTGCTTATTAATAACAAAATCATTCTGCGTGTCAATTCTCCTATTACTTTTCAAATGTGTCACACCCACAAGCGTCTCGGTTTCACGATCATCTAAATTGGATCCTTCTACTGTTTTGAGAGAAGTATTAATAACCGTCGGTACAGATTGACATTCTTCCAGATCATGTTCACATACATCAAAATGATCCTCAACGTCGTCAGGGTCGACTTTTGGAGATTGACGTCCATTTGTCGTCTGTTTATATTGATTGTCGAGGGCGAGAAAAGTTGCTGGTTCTGTGAATAAAAGCCGAAATTTTGAATAAAACTATACAGTACTAAAAAAATACAAATTCAATTATTCCTTTAACAATCTTCGCAATACACTTGATTAAGAGTGAAATCTTTTTAATTTTATATATGTATACTTATCATTTCCAACATCACAATCATCAACAACAAAAACAAAAATCCAGGCAACTATTATCGAAATTCATTAAATTGGCAACTCTTTCGAATAAAAAAAAATGACGGACTATGAACTACATTGTATAACGTGCGCCCATGGGCTGGCCCCAGCAAGAATGGCGGATGATATAGAATTGGTGACCGAACAACACGGTTACGAAAAATTCTCCTATTAGTTTTCAAATGTGTCACACCCACAAGCGTCTCGGTTTCACGATCATCTAAATTGGATCCTTCTACTGTTTTGAGAGAAGTATTAATAACCGTCGGTACAGATTGACATTCTTCCAGATCATGTTCACATACATCAAAATGATCCTCAACGTCGTCAGGGTCGACTTTTGGAGATTGACGTCCATTTGTCGTCTGTTTATATTGATTGTCGAGGGCGAGAAAAGTTGCTGGTTCTGTGAATAAAAGCCGAAATGTTGAATAAAACTATACTGAAAAAATACAAATTCAATTAAGATTTTCACTAATATGCCTATCGATCACTTACAATCTGTACTTCATCATAATATCATCATTATCATCGTCGTCATCATCATCATGTTATAATCCTTAACACCACCCACCATCATGGTCGTCATCGTCCTCATCATCATTAATGTCATATTATTACCATTATCTTTATCATCCTGATTATCATTTTCAACATCACAATCATCAACAACAAAAACAAAAATCCAGGCAACTATTATCGAAATTCATTAAATTGGCAACTCTTTCGAATAAAAAAAAATGACGGACTATGAACTACATTGTATAACATGCGCCCATGGGCTGGCCCCAGCAAGAATGGCGGATGATATAGAATTGGTGACCGAACAACACGGTTACGAAACTCGCAATGCAAGTACATTGAATGGTTAAAATAATATGACTTTCAAAATTCCTTTAACAATCTTCGCAATACACTTAATTAAGAGTGAAATCTTTTTAATTTTATATATGTATACTTATCATTTCCAACATCACAATCATCAACAACAAAAACAAAAATCCAGGCAACTATTATCGAAATTCATTAAATTGGCAACTCTTTCGAATAAAAAAAATGACGGACTATGAACTACATTGTATAAAGTGCGCCCATGGGCTGGCCCCAGCAAGAATGGCGGATGATATAGAATTGGTGACCGAACAACACGGTTACGAAAATCGCAATGCAAGTACACTGAATGGTTAAAATAATATGACTTTCCAAAATTCCTTTAACAATCTTCGCAATATACTTAATTAAGAGTGAAATCTTTTTAATTTTATATATGTATACTTTATGTTAAGTTCAAATCTGTATAAGAACATGGCTTTTACCAACTGGGTCACTAGGCTTCGTTGGGGAATTCAAATCTGATTGGAGACAACTGATGTGTTGAACAT